TGCTACTGCTACTGCGACGACGACTCCTGCTGCTACTACTACTACTACTGCTACTGCTACTGCTACTGCTACTGCTACTGCTACTGCTACTGCTACTGCTACTGCTACTGCGACGACGACTCTTGCTGCTACTACTACTACTACTACTACTACTACTGATAATAATAATAATAGCAATTTCTACACACCTACACCTGAACCTGAACCTACACCACCACCACCACCTCCACCACCTCCACGACCACCACGACCAGCACCACCACCACCTCCACCACCTCCACGACCACCACCACCACCACCACCACCACCACCACCACCACCACCAGCACCACCAGCACCACCAGCATCACCAGCATCACCAGCATCACCAGCAGCACAACCACCACCAACAACAACATCGACAACACCAGCAACAACAGCTTCTTGTGGCAACAAAAACAACTACAACTACTTACAACTGTTGTAAGTGCTCTTCGTGTACTAAGAACTGATACAGTACAAGAGCAACTCTGAGAGCGACAGAAACACCAGCACAGACAGCGCTACTGTGTGCCGTATAGACCAGGCATTTGCTACTCTTTTCATGCTGTCAGGACACCGCCTACGAGATTTCTGGAAGTTGCGCATGACAGTATGAGGGACTTGCACCGCTGCACCATGCTGCACCAAGCCGGTCCCTCAAGAGTGATACCAGTCAGATTGTAAGCCATTGAGCTGTGAGATCCCAGGTTCCTTAAAAAAGCTTTCAACATCCAGGCTTTGCCTCCAGGACGAGCCAGAGCGCTAACGATCCACGCTCCATCCTTGCATCCCAATCATTCCGTAGCTTATCAGAGCTCCCGGGAAATGAACGGGCCTCTCTGCCAACATGAAGGTTCATTTCAATTCCTTTTCTGCTTTTCTCTGAGATCCGATGAACTGACTGGCTTGCCGACTGACCTGATTTTCGCGCCCGAATATATGACCTGTGGGGCGGTACTGGATGCTTAATTATTGAGAGTGACCGTCCACGGATAATCTGCGGGCCAGACCAAATGGCAAGAATGTCTTTGTCCTTCAGCTCGCTAGCCTTGTGCATGAATGAGGCATCCGTCTGCCACGGCTGTGAACGCAACTGGCCATGATTTGAGTTCCGGGCTGAGAAGGAAGACATTACTCGAACTGCGGAGCAAAGGACAAACACGGCCTTTCCAGGACATGCCAAGCAAGGCCAAATGAGATAATGTCGCGCTCGGTGTAATTAGGTGACACCTTTAATGCTTTTTTTTCGCGGGACTCGATCGATGTTTTAAACTACATATAACTGTTCTCTATGATTCGTTGGTGTCTTTGGCCCGGCGGAAGATTGGTTGTTTTGCTTTGTCCTTTCTTCTAATGATTCTAATGGTCAGTCTTAATCTTACTTGTTAATTCAATACTGTAGATGACAACACGAGACCGGAGGAAAGAAACTCACTGTAGCAGGCCAGGCTGGCCGCTTGTTGGGAAGGCGGGAGTGTAGGATGATGGAACAAATCTTCAAAATGAACGGTTTTTGTGCTGGTAGTTATCTTGGATTGATCGGGGGGCCGTAAGCCCCCCCAAAACAGCTCTAGGTACCCCAAGACCCTTAGTGTACTATGTACTACTGATGTCTACGACTGTAGTACTACTGCACCACTGCTGTACTAGTCCTTTTCGACTAGTGTACTGCTAATTGTCTACTACTGTACTCCTGTAGTACTACTGCACTGCTACGGTAATGCTACTGTACTACTACTGTACTGCGTACTGTTTTACCAAGCCATCCTTGGTCGATTGCGGGGGAAAGGTTGCAGGAACAAGTCTTCAACATTTTAGTCTTGGTAGTTATCTTGGAGTGATGGGGGTTTGGTTTCGAGATGTTGAATTTTGGGGACCCTCAAACCCCACCCCTGAACCCTCCTGTACTGCTGCGCAACTACTGTACGATTACCAATTACTGACTTAGTGCTCTACTACTACCGTACACCCTTCTGAAGCGAGTGGAGCCGATCGCCCTCTGCAGGGCCGGGAGGCACCAACCCCACAAGCGTCTAGAGAGCTCATTATCTCCCTCCTCAGCCCAACCCCACCTCTAAACAGTTGGCCTTTGTCTACAGCCGCCAGCCCCCCTCACCCACGACCACGCTGGGGTCCGCGGGAGCACAGCTTCTAGGCTGAGGGAAGATGTGGGGGAGGGGCCCTACCCACTAAACCCAGTGCAACATTACCCAAATCAGCCGGCAAGAGGCAGCTGTAGCACTCTAACTAGCAGGAATCGGTGCGCTGCACGTTCATGCATGCACGGGCGCACCATTTGGAGGGTTCCGTGTTGCTGCCGTCTGCGGCGCAAATCACGGACCTTACTTGGCAGGTTTTCCCACCAGCGAACAGGCAAGACGGATTTGGATCGATGCTGGGATTCTGGCAGCCTCGTGCAGCAAGAGAGCCATGCAAGGCACCTCAATTGACGGAATTACTATCGAAACGGGTACCACGAAGAAGCAGGTCCGTATGACTCTTTCCTGCCCACAAACTTTCCTGTTAGGCGAGGGCCAGGGAAGCCGCAATGACCATCCCCAATGACGCCAGCCTCAATTCGAGGTGTTGAGCTTGTCGGTCTGGGCTGCTGCGGGCGCCCGGAGGCTTTGCTGTACAATCTGTACTATACATTGCTTGTAGAGTAGAGGCTGCACGACCCTAGTCTACTTCACATCATGTTCCTCAAAATCTGTACTGGTTGTGAGGCCTGCCTAGCTGACAGAACTGGGCTAGAGGAACCTGACAACCCTGGAGGCTCAGTGACTGCAGGCGTATCCGAGCCTTCTCATAGTCCGGAGCTCCTAGAACACTAGATAACACCAGTGATTAGTTAGTCAGTATGATGCAGCAGTAGCTTTCTAAACCACATACTGCAGAAGATCAAGCTGAAAGTCAAGGAAATGCAGCCGAGGAGCCACAGGAAGAATACCGCTGCAAACCTCTGTGAAGAAAGTTCTGGAGTTGACAGAGGGTCCAGATTTTCGAGTTCGTGTGCTTCAAGACACCATGCGAGGGTGGCCGTTCAGATAAAGAAGCAACGCACTTGTTTTCTTCACTCTCTAGCCGTGGAAGGGACTCTAGGGTTGAGGCGCGGCGACACATGACGTGGCACTGCAAGACCCGAAAGCTCCGGAAGAAGGACGTGAAAAGATGTGTGCCGGGAAGAACTCGGTCCATGAGCGCTGAGACACAGACGGCAGAAAATCGCTGGTCAGGCTGACCGCCGCATGGAGCACACGGCAAGCGGCTTGTCGGCCACATCGCTCCTTCACACACATGGAAGTTATCACAGCCACATGCACACGATTACGATTCTGGGATCACTTCCCGGATTTGGAGCTCCTCGCGAGGAACTTTCAAGAAAGCCAAGACGATGGTGTCCATGAGCAACGTGTTGCCTGGCGACATGACAGAGTCTCAGGCTCCTTCCTCAGCCGCGTCAAGAGAGCCACCGAGACAGTGGAGTTTTGAAAGCTGCAAACCCAGCGACCTGTGTGACCTCGAACTCTTTCTGTCAAGACGGCCCTCAGACCAGGTTGACTGCAGTGGCATAAGCGTGCTGCCGGCGCACCCAAGGCACACCACGCAGAACACGGGGCCACCCGCTTGACGGCAGGGAGAACCCAGATCACTTCATGCAGGAGGACCAAAACGCATCCTCCGCAGATTGTGTTGCAGGTAGGCCTTCTTGACATGTGCACTCTGGTATCCATCATGCAGCTAGGCTCGGCCTCGTATGCAACTCAATCGACCAGCCGTGTGCCACCATGCCAAACTCCGACGAAACAGATTGCTCAGATCATTGCCGTGCCTCCAATCTTGACCGTGCAGATCTTGGCAAGCAAGTCCTCACCGCAGACTATCAAACGACCCCAGGGCTTTTGGCAGGATTTCGGAACTTTACTATTGGAGAGCCTCGCAGACAAATGTCAAAGGACGCTGTAAGAAGCGGAACAGGTTCAGAGCCAGCATTGCGGTCAGAACGGAGATCACCTGGAGCCACTGAACGATTGCGAGTCTTGAGGGTAATTTGAACCTAGGAGGTACTACTGCTACAACTTTACTCCTGCTACTACTAGTAGTACTAGAACCAGTACCATACGACTACGACTACGACGACTACGACTACGACGACTACGACGACTACCACTACTGCTACTACTACTACTACTACTACTACTACTACTACTGCTACTACTGCTACTGCTACTGCTACTGCTACTGCTACTGCTACTGCTACTGCTACTGCTACTGAATCTGCTACTGCTACGACGACTACTACTGCTACTACTACTACTACCACCACTACTACTATCACTATCACTACCACTACCACTACTGCTACTACTGCTACTACTGCTACCTATTGCTACTACTGCTACTACCACTACTACTAATAATAATAATACTACGGCTACGACTACGACGACGACTACTACTACTACCTCTGCTACTGCTACTCCTGTTGCTACTGCCAAATGGCGCATGCTTGCACGTGTTGAAGGGTGTGTTTGCGCAGTAGGTCTTGCCTAGGCTTCGAGGCTACACCCACGAACCAGGAGGTCCACTTTGAAAAGGAGTGTGTATTTGTCTAGTAGAGTGTCCGCCAGTACTCCATGAAGCACTTGTAGTACAATTCAGCTCTGTTCCACAATCTGCAGGACGTCATTGAGTTACAGGCCACAGGAGCTTTTGACCCAACCCTGACAACGTTGTGTGAGAATGACAGTAGTAGTAGTAGTAGTAG